AACAAGCTGTGTATCCTTGGTAAAGAGAAAATTTTCAGGGCCTGTTTTCCCCTAATCCTTGGTTAAAATATGTAAAACGCTAAGAACAGTGGCTTGCTTACAGTAAGCACTCTGCAATGATTTTAGCAAGTATTCTTAGATGTTTTAAAATTATATACTATTTAATACACACATATGAAGCATAACAAGATAAACACTGGGAAACCCACCACCCAACCTATTAAACAGAATACTACTAATATACTGTGTTTTTTCCTGATCCCATCCTCCTAGCTTCTCCTCTAGAGAAAATAACTATCTTGAATTTTGTATTTATCATTCTTTTTCCTTAAAAAAATATGTCATGTTCTACATTTGTACAGGGCCTGTTTCTTTATAGGTAAGATGAAGCTTTGGGTTAGCGGCTGTCTAAACTCCCTTCTAGCTTTAAGAGTATATGAGATATGATAGGTGGATAGGAAAACTACATACCTAGCAGAACCATATTAATGTTTATTTTTCAAGGGTTTTATAAACCTAAACACTTGCTCTTCTGTTGAAATCTCCAATTCAACAAAAGGATATCTCAATGGAAATTTTTTTTTTAAGAGTCTGTGGGTTGTTTTTTTTTTTCCATAAATTTATTTATTTTTGGCTGAGTTGGGTCTTTGCTGCTGCATGCGTGCTTTCCCTGGTTGTGGTGAGCAGGGCCTACTCTCCACTGCGGTGTGTGGGCTTCTCATTGCGGTGGTTCTCTTGTTGCGGAGCACAGGCTCTAGGCGTGCAGGCTTCAGTAGTTGTGGCGCATGGGCTTAGTTGCTCCACAGCATGTGGGATCTTCCCGGACCAGGGATCGAACCCATGTCCCTTGCATTGGCAGGCATATTCTTAACCACTACACCACCAGGGAAGCCCAAGAGTCTGTGTTTTTTTTTTTTTTTTATATTATTTATTTATTATCTTCGGCTGCATTGGGTCTTTGTTGCTGTGCATGGGGTTTCTCTAGTTGCGGCGAGCTGGGGCTACTCTTCGTTGCAGTGTATGGGCTTCTCATTGTGGTAGCTTCTCTTGTTGTGGAGCACGGGCTCTAGATGTGTGGGCTTCATTAGTTGAGGCACATGGGCTCAGTAGTTGTGACTCACGGGCTCTAGAGCACAGGCTCAGTAGTTGTGGCACACAGGTTTAGCTGCTCCACGGCACATGGGATCTTCCTGGACCAGGGCTCAAACCTGTGTCCCCTGCACTGGGAGGCGGATTCTTAACCACTCTGCCACCAGGGAAGCCCCCTCAATTGAACTTCTAATTTCAAGATCAAGACTTTCCATCACTTTCAATTTGCACCTCTGCTATAAAGTTATACTCTAGAGAAAACCAACACAAAGAGCTAAATAATCTAAGCCCCTGACACTGTCCAATGAAATCCTGAAACTCAAGCCTGAGGAAATAGGACTGAAACAGATGAACTGGGAAAGCATACTTTATTTCAGTGACAAGTATTTCAATAAAAATTAAGAGGCATGGTTGGGTTCATATGCAGTAGCTTTTAATACAACCTGGATTTGTTTCTTCCACATATATGTGTATATATAAGTAGTATAAAGTAAAACAACTAACTTTGTCTTTTTAACTTCCATCAAAGGTGCTTACACTATTTTAGTTTCATAAAAAACCATCTTTAGGGCTTCCCTGGTGGCGCAGTGGTTGAGAGTCCGCCTGCCGATGCAGGGGATGCGGGTTCGTGCCCCAGTCCGGGAAGATCCCACGTGCCGCGGAGTGGCTGGGCCCGTGAGCCATGGCCGCTGAGCCTGAGCGTCCGGAGCCTGTGTTCCCCAACAGGAGAGGCCACAACAGTGAGAGGCCGGCATACCGCAAAAACAAAAAACATCTTTAAATACGATAAACACAAATGCAAATCTGCTGACCATATGGCTTTCCTCTAGGGTGCCTGTCTGGCCTAGGATGCTGTTCTCCCTATCTGTAAACAACCTGAGATTTTGTATTTGTCACACCAGTTACCAAGTTGATAAGAGTTAAGTGAGTTGGACCAGGCAGTGGAATTGCTATGTCAAGGGCAAATAAATGCCCCGCTCATACACAGGTCTGCGTTTATCAGACTTCAGTATGGCTGGAATAGAAAGTCAGCTGAGACTGTTGGTACGAGGTAACCGCTTAATGTGTTTTCAGTGGCCTTTGAAGAGGCCATGACTGTAAAGTAGGATGTGAGTATGTTCTGAACCTTAACAGTACCAGGACAACAGTGGTCGAAAGAATGAGCATTCACTACAGTAATTTTTTCATGGAATTTCAGTAGTTTTCCTTATTCTACCCATTGAATTGGCACAAGAAAACAGATATTTCCTTAGAGGTATCTTCTTCCCAAGTCCAGTCTTGCTTCAATCAATTAAAATATAGCATACAGGGCTTCCCTGGTGGCGCAGTGGTTGAGAGTCCGCCTGCCGATGCAGGGGATGCGGGTTCGCGCCCTGGTCTGGGAAGATCCCACATGCCGCGGAGCGGCTGGGCCCGTGAGCCTGCGCGTCCGGAGCCTGTGCTCCGCAACGGGAGAAGCCACAACAGTGAGAGGCCCGTGTACCGCAAAAAAAAAAAAAAAAAAGAATATATATATATATGGCATACAAATCACCTTAATTTTTATAACCTGCCTCTTTAAAAATGGTAGTAAGAAGTATAATGTCATCTCCTTGGTTTCTGTCTACTTTGGAGCTTAATATGAATTGTGAAAAGTACAACTAAAGGACTCTAAGAATGTCAGTATAGGTATTAAGAGACTAACACAAGCAGCTACTGTTCTCTCTCAACAATGAAAGGGTACTGCCGTGCACTATTTGAAACTGAATCCAAATACTCTCCTCGTTTAGCTCAGGTACAGCTACCAGGAGAGCTAAGCATCATTTATTACCTACATTTGTTTACTCCCGGTAAGAACATTTGCAAATCACAGTGGCACTTCCAGAATACCTACAGAGAAAGGTAATCTTCCAGAAAGCAAATGCTCTCCTTGGGGTAGAGTGTGGAATCCCTGGATAAGATCAATATGCAGGATTCAGAGGCTCTCTAAGATAAGCTCAAAATTTTGAAACATGTCTGCATTTAACCTTTAACCATAACACTTGACCTTAACTGAAATTAAGGTACAATATTCAAGTGTTTACCTTCCACTGTTCACATTCCAAAGGGAAGGCAGCCTCTGAAGAAGGTCTCAAAAATAAGTAAGCTTCTTCTCCCAACTCCCAACTTCTGACAAGAGTTAAACAGTCACTTCTTTGTTCTAGTTTTTAGGAATGTCCAAAAATCTTCAGCAAACTAAATCCAGTCTAGTGAATCCTAGGCCCAATAAAAATCCTAAGCAGTCTCTGAAAGCTCCTGGACAAGACAAATTGGCTGCTTTAATCATTGGTTTACTAAAGAAAAACTGGGTTATCTATTTTGTGAGCTAACAAAATTAACATAGGCAGGCATTCTCCCATAGTGAGTGTTACACTCGCAAAGGTCAGATGTGTTGTGGTTAAGTTTTCGTAGTGGTGAGCAAAGAGGTGTCCTCCTAAAATAACATAAGGTTTTTCATGAATGACATGCTAGCCTTTCTTGCCCCTTTAGATATTTAAAAAACACAAAGTAACTATGTTCTATTTAATTCCTTTGTTGAGTTGTACTCAAGTAGCTAATACTTTGCAATATGACTCATACTCCTTTTTCCTAAACTAGGAAGGAGCTCTGGGTTACAAGTGTAGTGTACACAGTTTGGGTTGTCATTACCCAAACGAAATCAAAAGGGTTTTGTATTTTCTAGTTAAAACTATTTTTAAATAAAGTTAAATGTGAGTTGCTGACTGATACTCAAACGTAAGTAACCAGAATTAGGAGAAAAATGGGTGTTTTTTTCCCCTCCTCAATACATTATACCACCCACTCCAGAAGAAATGGTCTACTTACTCACTTATTCATACAGCTAGAAGAAGAAATACTATTGTACTAGGGCTTATCTTGAATCTGTTTTTAGAGATTGGAACTAAATAAACAGATAGCTCTGCTTCATTAAAGAGAGAATCCTGTTTTGTGTGAAACTTGTGGAAGAGGCATTCCACAAGAGCCCACTCCCCCTACAAACAATGCTCAACAGATCAGTTTTGGAATTATTGGTCAGTATGCTTCATCTGACTCCCTATCTATACCAGATCCCAAATCTCTTCCCATGCCAAATGGCTTTAAAACCAAACCACACCAAACCTGAAAAAAAACAACCAAACAAAAAACTGGTATGGGAGGTTATGAAGTCTCCTTGTGAGGGTCAACAAGATGCTAGGATAGCCAGAGCCTTGAGTTCAGAAATCTAACTTATACACACGTCCCAGGGTAGTCAGCAGGGCCTTCACACATTTCAGCTTTGAAGCTTAATCAAATTTCACACACAGATGAAAAGCCTATCTCTTCTCCACACGTACATTGGTTCCTCCTCTCCATTCCAATCTTCACTCCTACGCAATCCACACCTGGTTTGACAGCTAGTACAATTTCTAGCTGGAATGTGGGAAAGAGAAAAGAAATAAAAGAAACCTACCCTAGGTTACAAATATTCAGGGAACAAGATGTCCTAAAGATTCTAAACAAGAATAGGGTGTATTTCTATATATAAATGCTATCAACATCAAAGACTCAATAAAAAATGCACTAATCAGAAAAGGTCCATTCCTATAAATGTTAAAAGGAATTTGGTTCATGTGTGTCAGAGAACACAAATATATACACAGTTACTTTTTCCAATCCAAATTTCTTGCCTGCTTTAGCTGGATCCTTTAAGATAACTTTAAATGATTTTGTTTCATTAATGTAGAATGAGATATGAGTTCTGATCTTGCGGCTGCAGGTACTTAACCAAACTATCAAGCTATTTACAATGATGGTTTATTTGAAACAGTTCTTCTGAGCATGAGGATTCTTTCTTGCATCAAATGAGTAAGGACTCAAAGGGGGGAGGAAAAGAAAGGTACTTGTCAGTTTGAAAGTCACAAACAATTTATCTTTCTATAATTAGATTAGGAGAAAAAAATGAAGAACCCACTGTAGCAGGAAGAAGCAAAGAGTCTTCTAGGGTCTGGCATCTGCAAGGAAATAAGAAAAAAAAAAAAAGAGCTCTTAGTTCCTATCAATGACAAAAGCATCAACTACATCTGACAATGGGCCACACAACTACAGTCCAATTAGTCTCCTGGTCTGCTGGAAGAATCTGTTGTTGCTAATGGCAGAACACCAAGTACTTTCTGACCCTTAGCTCTTTAGTATCACTAAGCACACAGAAACTTGTTAATTGAATTAAAAACATTCTATACAGAGATCAACGCACACTTGTTGTGTCAACAGTTTTCACGGGTGAGGAGAAAATCAGAATTGACCATCCAGGCAATTGACTTCTGCAGACAATTCTGGATTAATTCCAATTAACTTATATTGATCTTTTTCTCTTCTCATATACCCATCTACTCAGTAATTCAATCATATTTTTGAGCTGTTACAATGTACATCATGGTATTACCTGCTTTTGAGGCACTTACCTAGTAAAAATTGGAGTTGTTGATAAAAACACAAATGGGATAAAGCATTTAAGTGCAAGGTGAACAAACCCTTTTCAGGCATGTGCATTAAAAAAAATTCTCCACCCATTCTTAAGTTTCTTAAGGGAATAAGTCATGTCTTACATTTTTTTGGTGTGTGTATCTATCCAAAGAAGAGAGTTCTGCAACAACAGGTATTCAAAAAATGATGCTTTATTTTTATTAAGGGGATAAGAAGGTCTTTGGCTGTTAAAGGATTCTTTTTTTGTTGTTGTTAAAGGATTCTTACCTATGTTTTTCCCCTTATTCCTCACGGGTTACATAGAAAAAAAAATTATCAGTGTGTAAGGAGTTTATTAGCAAAGAGTTAAGTTCCAAAGCAGAAAAATGTTTAGTCTTAAGTGATAGAAGTTTCTCCTAGGCTTTCACCGTAGAGTAGCCATTTTTACTAGGTAACTATCCACACTCTATGAACACAAGCATCTCATGCAGTGTGTCAGAGAAGGATTCAAAGTTCACCATTTACCCATGTCTGTGTATGCTTTCTTGACACACCCCAGTGCAGTTGTGTCTTTCCCTTCTGGGATCAAATCCAACTTTCTGGCTTCCAGATATATTCAATAATTTGATGTCAGAACCTACCAAGAAAAATGGCCAGTACCTACAAGCAACTGATAAATATTATTGTTCATAGCTAAGGGGTGTTTGCTTTTAGAATCTCTTTTCTGCTTCTTACCAGAAGAAACATCAGTTTTGGTACTAAAATGAACCCTAACTTGCAGGAGATCCATCTACTTCACTGTCCAGAGAAAGTAACCATCTACTTCACTGTCCAGAGAAAGTAAATGGACTAGAAGGCAACAGGCCAATTACTCATTCATTCAATAAATATTCGCTGAAGGCCTACTATCTGCAGGACAGTGGGGATTATCAACCCATTCCCAGCCCAACAGTATTCCTTCTGCCAGAAGCAGTGTGGCCGAGCAGCCTCAGCCAAGACAGCATCTGGAGCATCAAACCTGGCTCTGCTATGGGTACATGGGGTGACCTCAGAGAAAGGCTTCATCTGTGAAAACTAAAAGATTCTGGACTCTTTATATAGATTTTGTAAGGTTCTGCTAAACCAAATATTCAGATAAGATCAACAGTGAGAGACTCTTAGAGACCCGAAACTTTAAAGTTCTCATTCAAAAGAGTATGAATTTTTGATGAGTACTAAACTGTACTGCACAGGGGAAGAACTGCAGAGCAGTGAAGCACAGTTGTTTGATTAATCTCAGTCCATTAAAAAGGCATGATAGTCTAGAATGCAACTTTGATAAAAAAAAAAGAAAAAGGAAAGAGGCAGTACGCACTAACATTAGGGAAAGCAACTTGGCATGTAACGGAATTCTAATTTAACTAGTAAACGCCTATGCATTAGCGTGTAAAGCCATAACAGAGGCTATATACTTAAAAACACAGGCACATACAAAGCTTTAATTTGGTACCATAATCTGAAAGAAAATTGGACCCAAATTGCTTTATGTCCAGTTAAATCTTGCTACCATCTGGAAAAAAAAAAATAGTGAAATAAAACTGGAATACTTACTTGAGTTAGATACTCAGTTACTGTGCATTTCCATCTATGGAGTAGAAATATTTCAAAATAAATACGCCATGTCAATTGAAAATCACTCCATCCCCTATTCTTACTAAACACGAATGACTTATTCCTGGGGTATATGGAATTATAATATAAAAGGAGAAGAATTTAAAATTAGCAATTGGATTCCACTCAAGAGCATGGAAAAAGGAAATAGTCCTCTACCTATCAAGCCTTATGGCATATGATTTGGTGATCTCATTTTTGGAGAAATGCAAGTATCCAAAGGGAAATGTTTTAAAGGGGATACTCTAGCCATTTAAAAATTAGCTCAAACAGTAGCAAAATCTGAAATCAAGAGAATCTGAATTTGGGGGCAACATTAGGAAAAGAAAGTTTGTATTAAATAAAAATGACAGCACCTTGGGTGTACCATATGTGGGAATTTCTTTACTAGGGTGGTATGACATGAATTTCATACCTGTTTACTCAGCATGGTCTCTGAAGCCTAGGAAAGACATCTGAATACCATTCTTATGGTGGTTCTTATGACTTATTACTTTCATTTTGTCTCTACCCATTACCTTTTAGGCCCTTGCAATCCAATTTCTAATCCCAATTCCCTATCAATATTATGGCTTGAAAATCAGGGATGATTTCCTCCTAGTCAAAATCAATAGCCTTTTTACTGGTCCCCAAATTTACCCATGGTATTCGATGTCAGTGATCACCCCATCTTGAAAATATTCTTTATGCTTCTGTGATCTTGTCCTTTCCTGCTACTAACCAGGAGTAGGGGGAAGTGAGTGAGGTGCTTGGGGTGCAAAATTTAAGGAGGCACTCACTCTCAGGGTCATGTAGGTACTAGGTGTTCAGACTGAACATGTCCTTGAATAATCAAGACCAACTGTATTTAGCACAACAAACAGAGTAAAAGCATTTTGCCTCTATTTCACTTACTGTTTTTCCATGGCAGAACATATGGCAGAGACTTGGGAACACGCATGCCTGAAGCCAGGTTACTCTTATGTTCCATAACTATGTTGCTTGCGGGGCTGCAAAAAGAAAGATGAATTTGACTATATGTATTCTTCAGGCAGGCACACACAAGACAATCAAATGCGTTTTTTGTAATTTGGGGAAAAACAACAACCTACATTCTGAAATGTAAACACATTTCCATCAAAACATTCTCACAATGAGAATGATTACCAGCTTCTCTGGAAAGCTCACTCTTCTGTACAGGCATTAAGATGACTCTAACCATTTTCATTTTCCAGAAATTGAGATAAACAGCAATGCCATCTACTGTTCAGTTGTATGACAGGCTCATGAACTCAACAGATAAAAGAGATAAAATAAAATGCCAAGACAACCAAACTAAAGGCAACAAATCTCACAGAACTGAGATAAAATTAAAATTGTACCAATGGAATTCATCTTTAAGTTTTTCTATCTCAGTGCATACACAGACTAAGATACATTTATTATAACTAACTGACTTCAGGAGCTAAAAAATAAAAATTGATAAGTGTTCTATTTGAGGAAAAAAATGAAGTCTAGCATCTAATTCCCTCATTTTCTAATCCAGAAATATTCTCATTTGGGTTTGAAACATGATCTTTTTTTGCCACGCAGCTTATGGGATCTTAGTTCCCCAACCAGGGATTGAACCTGTGCCCTCGTCAGTGAAAGCACGGAGTCCTAACCACTGGACTGCCAGGGAATCTTTTAAGGTTTGAAGATCAAATAGTAATGAAAAATCTTAAGAGGTTTAAATTAGATACAAAATCAGTGGGAAGAAGAGATGCATTTTCTTTCCTACCCATTTGGTATTATGGATTGCCCAATCTCAAGTCAAGAACTTCTGGGCTTCCCTGGTGGCGCAGTGGTTAAAAATCCACCTGCCAATGCAGGGGACACAGGTTCGAGCCCTGGTCCAGGAAGATCCCACATGCCGCGGAGCAACTAAGCCCGTGTGCCACAGCTACTGAGCCTGAGCTCTAGAGCCCACAAGCCACAACTACTGAGCCTGCGTGCCACAACTACTGAAGCCCACGAGCCACAACTACTGAAGCCTGTGTGCCTAGAGCCTGTGCTCTGCAACAAGAGAAGCCATTGCAATGAGAAGCCCGTGCACCACAACGAAGAGTAGCCCCCGCTCGCTGCAACTAAAGAAAGCCTGCACACAGCAACGAAGACCCAACGCAGCCAAAAATAATAAATAAATAAAATAAATTTATTAAAAAAATAGAACTTTTAAGATTACTTTTTCCTTAGATACTAGTTACCCAGAGTAAAAATGATACATGTGGTATAGCTAGAGGATTTTTTCAAAGCATTAAAATAATGTGAACTTAGCAAAAACTCCAACTAAGACATAAGAATGGCTGGCGCCACTGTCTCCCTTACTAGACTATAAGCTAGTATTTTTGTGTTCCCGTGGTAATTAACACAAAGCATGTGACCTTTTTATGAATCAAGGAATAAATAAGGAAAAAACCCCACCAAAACTATATCTAGACTAAATTACCACCAAGTAACATCATCAAGGAAAGAGGTCAATACATGCTTTGGTGGCTTCTATTGGTAACAGAGCACTGTGATTCTGGGAGGAAGAGGTGGGAATGAGACCCTTTCATTTACCTGTTGTTGCCACAGTAGTTGGCTTCGCCCCAGACAAATGGGGTGCTGGTCTGTTCCCACAAATCTGCCAAAGGAAGCAAAACATGGTTTGTGGTACTACTAGGTAAAACACCAATTCATGCTAGTTGAATTTGTAAGATGAGAAATAATAAACATAAGTTTAGAGAAGCAAGTAATAACTGATCAAGTACCTGGCCTAAGTGACAGAGTAGCAAGAATTTAATTGAAGGATATAAACACAAGTGACATAAATAATAATAAATGTGCCTAGTAGCAACCAAACACAGATGGTACAACACAATTTATGGAAAAAAACAGATGTAAAGAAATGCTTTTTCCAATCAAGAGGGATAGGCTGTTCCACGTGTCTGCACAGAGAGAAATATGTGCTTGTATTGGGGCCCAATAAAAATAACAAGTCATTCTGAACAACATGGTATGTTCATAAAAAAGGAAAATCTTCCTTCTGTCTAAAGCAAATGACTTGAGATTTTGACATTGTGAAGAAAAAGATGTAGAAGCATTTCACCTTTATCCCAGTCTTCATCGCAAGGAGGGCACTGCCATGTGCTCTCAGCCAGAGCCTCTTGTCCAAGGTTCCTGGTTTGGCTGACTGCAAGACAATAGAGATTCTGACTTAACAAGGGAACACTGCCAAGTTATTATGTTTAAAGGGGTTAGTGGCTTAAAAGGTTGCAGGGTCTTTGTTTCTGAAAAATGGATGGGATGAAAGCTAAACAGAGAGGTCTTATCCCCTTGCCAACAGAAGACAAGAAAGAGAAGCAGAAACAAAGATGTTTGCCATATTTATGGTAATAAAAGAATTTTCATTTTTAGATGAATTATTAGCAAAATGAAATCAGGTTGTTCAGAAGAGAAAGCAGTCTGACAAACACAACCTGACAACCTTTTGCTGCTAAAATAAAAATCTCAAAGGCAGAAAACCATTGTTCTTCTGAAATGATGAAAGCCAAAATCAAGGTGATAACGTAGCATCATATAAATCTGAAGGGGCTAACCTCCAACACTGAAACATTTAGCTAGTCAGTCTTACCTACATCCTGCTCAATACAGCTTTTGTCATCACAGCTTGAGATATGATGACTGATTTCAGCCCGAGGAACCTGATGGCGAGCATTGAAGGGACAAGTAGCCAGTTTGTTTGCGATGTCAGGATGATTCTGTGAAAAAAATTAAAGGGGTCCGTCAATAAGCTTGTGGCTTAACTTGGTAGGTAAACTCATAGTAGAACATTAAGAGGGAATTATTTAGCACTCATATGGACCATAGAGACATTACCTCGGAATCATCAAAAGCTAAGCCTCTTTGTTATGATTATAAAGACTGACAACACAGATATTGGGGTTAAAGTGGCTTGTATGGAAGTAAGCAGTGAATTTAGGATGGGGTATTTGAAACATATCTTCACCCCGTTTACTTCTCAGGGTCACAAGATTCAGGCGGCACAGCCTGTAATGGTAGAGCTCTCTGGACATCTTTGAAAGCTGATATTCAGGACGAACAGCAACACTAAAACACACTTAGTCTGCATTGCAGTAGTGCCCCTGCTACTGCAGTACAATAGTGCAGGAAAACAGCTGTTGGAAGGGAGCTGCAGAAGAGGCAAACCCAATGATTTTTCAGATTAACACAGGAACGCTTATTTAAAGTAATGATGCCTGAAATGAGGCTCTGAACAATTTGACCTTTATTTCAGCTATTTCACTAAGGAAAAGTCCAAATGATAGAGAACTCTGCTGACCAAGTTCTTTATTTTAATACAAAACAAGAAAACAAAACAAAATGTTTAATATCACCCAAATCCTATGGTAAGTTTACCAGCAATTAAGAAATTTATTAGGAGAAGCAAAAGATGTATCATAAATGCTACTCAAAAAAGTAAAAATAATGTAAAGTGGGGAGAAGGGTGGAAAAATATAGGGGATGGAGAAAATTGTGAGGGCAGGTATCTCCATGATTTTTGTAAGGGATATCAGGCATTCGAATGCAAAGGTTTTGTAGCTGAAGATTAAGAGCATTAGAATAGGGGAGTTATGACAATGTCTTCTTACCACTTGGACCCCTTTCCCAACCTTTATCCTTGGAACAGTTTTGAGAGCCTAGGGGAGGAAGTTGTGGTAGTATTTGCTAGTCCATATTGCCCAGGTTCAACCTTAAGGAATCCTTGCTCTAGAGATTAAAAGGAGCTGAGAAATAATCAACAATGGCATTATAATCATGCCTCCAGGACTGCAAGAGAAACATCCTTTGAAGAATGTTAATGCATACTTGAATTGTATGCAGGTTTAGATTAAATACTAAAATTGTTTTCCAAGCATAAATCCTGGCAGAACTTTGGCCTCTGTATCTGACATCTATATTCTAACAATCCTTTCAAACTGCCTCAATTAATATATCAGCATTAAACTAGCTTACATCAGCTAAGTCTACAAAAGGGTGACCAGAGGAAAAAAAAAATCTTTGAGCTGGTTTTTTTTCCCCCAAAGATGCTTACTGTTGAAACTTGGAGAAAGTTATTTTTAGGAATGATCTTTTCTTGGGTTAACCTCTAGCTGTTCAACTTCTCTAAAATTTCTAAACAAACAAACAAAAAAATCAGAAATAAGTGTATTACAATACTCAATCCTTATCAGGACAATGAACACATCAAATTCACAAGGCAAGAGGGATTTCTCACTGCTAGCAAAAATTAGTGTTTCCTCTTTACAAAGGCTGCGAAGATTCTTGAGAAGCTGTTTATGAAGGGTGCTCTGTCACTAGTGGGGGGAAAACCAAAATAAGAAAAAACTTACATATCCAAGAAATAAACAAATTCTTTTCTATAAATATTGGTATTTAACCCAAAGCAATTCTGGCATTCAGTTAAAACATTTATGCTAAAATTATTTGATAGTTACAAAATTTGGCTTTTAAAAAGAACTCAGGAGGGCATCACGGGCAAATTAAGAAAATAATACCCTACCTTTCTGCACTTGATAAGATGATAAGGAAACCTGCAGGCCCTGATCTGGTGGTTTTTATCATAGGGGCATTGTAACAGCTTTTCAGGGTCCAGGGTATCGACTGAAAGAGAGAAAAACAGGGTAAGTATAAAGCTTAACAGGCCCTTGTAAAACTTCAGCATCCCCAGCACACTGGATTTTTTCAACAGAATCTGTAAGAGTTCAACAAGACAGCCTAACGACGGCTTAGACTTTTTTTTTGAAAGGGTGACTAAACATCTGAAAATAAAAATGTAACTGTGAGAAGATAAAACTGCGTTATCATCGAATCTTCATTAAGTCCAGCAAAACCAGCAGTCATGGGGTGGGGTCTTGGTTCAGATTTGGTTGTACATGAATATTGTTGTTTTCATTGTTGGTTACCCTTATTATAAACGAAAAAATTAAATGAAACATCTTTTCCTTTTCTAAAAGTGCTAATTCAGTGTCATAGGACTTGCGTGGTGGCGCAGTGGTTAAGAGTCTGTCTGCCGGTGTAGAGAACACGGGTTCGAGCCCTGGTCCAGGAAGATCCCATGTGCTGCAGAGCAACTAAGCCTGTGCACCACAACTACCGAACCTGCGCTCTAGAGCCCGCGAGCCACAACTACTGAGCCTGCATACCCAAACTACTGAAGCCCACATGCTCTAGGGCCTGTGTGCCACAACTACTGAGCCCGTGTGCTGCAATTACTGAAGCCCGTGTGCCTAGAGTCCGTGCTCCACAACGAGAAGCCACCGCAATGAGAAGCCCGCGCACCACAACAAAGAGTAGCCCCCGCTCGCCACAACTAGAGAAAGCCCACGCACAGCAACGAAGACCCAACACAGCCAAAAAGAAAAAAAAGTGCTAATTCAGGGTCATTCTTATCTCTAGCTAGTTCAACCAGAGCTTCCCAGCCAGTATGTTGAAGGTTGGAATGGACAGTGTACTGATACACTGCCGTGGGGGTCCATTGCATGCGTGTCCCCTATTCCCCAACCAGTCCTAGGGTAAGTTGAGGGTAGTTAATCCCCTACACTAGCATCCCTATTTACTAGTATGCTATGACATGAAAAGAGTTGGTAAGCATTGCTCTATATCAGTTATACGTTCTATGGAAGCTTGAGAAATATTCATTGATAGATTTCTTTTTCGTCTGTCTGCTTTAATGTACTTCTATAAGTAGTTCCTGATCTTGGTTAATCTAGTTACCTCTCAAATGAAACCAATACCTTTACCAGATCGGTGGTTTTACTTTTCATATTTTGGAACATAATGAGAGAAAGAGAATTCTTTAACCTAGTGATTATCAAACTGGCCAGATAAAAAAGTAGAATAATCTGCAAAAAGAGAACCCGAAGTTATTAAGACAAATGCAGATACCTTAAAGGGGCTGCTGTGTGAAAGAAAGCCCCTAACCTATATCACGCTATTTAAAAGTACCCTTAGAAGACTATACTTTTAGGGACCATTTCAATAGTTTGAATAGAAACTAGAGAAGTTTCTCTGAACGTGTACAACTATCCTTATGTTCTGCAAAATGTCCAGGCTGAGCCCCAAATTTTAAGAAGCCTGGTTAAAGAAGGGAAATTAAATGGTTAAGCACATTCTGAATATATTATGAGGACAAGAGGCAACCTAATAAAATGCTGTTGCTACCACTGAAGGCAATAATAAAAGTGAAATAAGATAAACAATTCACATTTGATAAGAAGCTTATAAACCAGGAGACTGCTATGGAAATCAGAAGCTAGTGGGGAATTGAAACAGACAGCTTCACTGGAAGAGTGGTAAACATGGGATAAATTGCTAACCATGATCGTGATGCAAATGAGCCAGAAAGGTGACTTGAAGGACAGAATGAATAGGAACGAAAAGTCTTAAAGGACAAGCAGGCTTATTATGCCAGCCACGCTCATCCTGACCAGCAATCTTTTCATATTTCTGAAGCTTCAGGACACCCGGGAAGAGTGTACGGATGAAATTCTTGTTAGTTTTCCTTCATTTAATCCATTCCATCACTAGCAAACGATACACCATGTCAGCAGCTGACAGAGACTGGACGTACTTTATGATTCATACACATTTTACTGCCCATACAGTGGTATTCATCAGAGTTGATAATGATAGCTTCCTACCAAAATGCTTTACTTTTTGGTCTCTGATAACTTAGGTCAGCTCTAAACTGTTTTGTGGTTTTTTTTGTTTTTTTTTTTTTGCGGTACGCGGGCCTCTCACTGTTGTGGCCTCTCCCGTTGCAGAGCACAGGCTCCGGACGCGCAGGCTCAGCGGCCATGGCTCACGGGCCCAGCCGCTCCGCGGCATGTGGGATCTTCCCGGACCGGGGCACGAACTCGTGTCCCCTGCATTGGCAGGCAGACTCTCAACCACTGCGCCACCAGGGAAGCCCTAAACTGGTTTTTTAGATTAAAATTTTTTAAATTTTATTTTTAATAAAAAATTTTTAATGGTAATAAGATACACATAAAATTTATCATCTTAACCATTTTAAAGTATACAGTTCAGTGGTGTTAAGTATATTCACATTGTTGTGCAACCAACCTCCAGAAATTTTCATCTTGCGAAACTGAAACTCTATACCCATTAAATAACTCCCATTTCCTCCTCCCTGTAAACCCTGGCAACCACTATTCTACTTTTTGTTTCCATGAGTTTCACTATTCTAGATACTTCATATATGTGAAATCATATGGCATTTGTCTTTTTGTGACTGATTTGTTTCACTTCCCACAATGTCCTCAAAGTTCATCCAGAGTATAGCCTGTGACAAGCTTTCCTGTACCTATTTTGCTATTTGCTTTCTTTTAACTTAACATATCTTTGAACTCCTTCTATGTCAGTATGTTAAGAAATGTTTCACTGCTGCATACGGATGTACCATAGATTCTTAATCAGTTCCCTTACGGATAGACATTTAAGTTGTTTCCGGTTTTTTACTCTTATATACAATGCTGTGACTAGCAATATAACATATACTTCTTTGTGCATTGTACAAGTATTTCCCTTGGGCAGATACCTAAGAGTGCTACACGAAGTATACACGCATTTAAAGTTGTAATGAATACTATCAAACTGCTCAGCAAAAATCTTGAGTGGCTTTCTGGGAATATAACTTAATTTGGAAAACAAAGCAGGCCCTGTGGACAACCTTCCTCCAAGAGCGTAGACTCAGATGTTCCTCACACTTGCATAGAGCCCAGAACCCATGGTGAGAAATGGAGGAAACTTCACAGAAATAAGGAACTAGACTTGACGAGAGTATCATCAGCTAAGAGGTACTGCCCAAAGACAGAAGCTGGAGATCTTCAGGAGTCTATCAGATTAACGTTAGAGTTTTAGGTCACTTTGAGAAAAAGGTCAAACATATTCTAAAGCACTGTTTCTCACTTTAACATGATTCCCGGTGCTAAATCACTTGGGGACTGTGTTAAAATACAGATTCTGATTCAGCAGGTTTGAGATGAGGCCTGAGGTTGTGCATTTCTAACCTACTTCCAGGTGATATTTTTCTTTTTTTTAAGTCTTAAAACAATGAAGCTTTATTAAGAAAGACATAGATAAAGAAATGCTATAGACTTAAAGGAGTTGTTTCTTCACAAGCCAACTTATTTATTTATTAAACTTAATCACAAAACTTAAATAAAATTGTAAACATACAGCAAAATTCACCATTTCCTTCTTTCTTTAACAAACATCTACTGATTATCACTATGTAAAAAAGTCTGTTATGTAGCAATACAGTAATTAAAAGAACCAGGTGATATTTTTCTAAGAAAAAAAAAATCACCACTGACAAAAGTAATGAATAGAGATATAAAGGGGAGATGTTGCTTTCTAATTTAATAGAGTAGTAAGCTTCCAAGAATAAATAAATATAAATCTCTCATATCTATCTCACATGGAAATCTCAGATTTTAATTAACACATTTTTAGAAAAATTAAGGGGGTGAAGGAGGAAGCCCTAAGGAAGATCAAGGAGAATCAGATCCATTATTCTCTAAGTATGGTCCTCAGATTAGCATCATCACCTGGGAACATGTTAGAAATGCAAATTCTTGGGTCCCAGACCTTCTGAATCAAAAATTTTGGGGGTGGGGTCCAGCAACCTGTGTTTTAATAAGCCTCCCAGGTGATTCTGCTGCATGCTAAAGTTTAAGAATCTCTATTGTAGATATTTAATAAAGATTGTTTCCATGTAGTTTCTACATGTTGGTGATAAAGATTCTATCGGACTCTTCCTTGAAGGTAGAATGGGACTAAAATACCCTTTAGTTAGAACTTATAGAGATTCTGAACAAGACAGAAAGTAGGAAACGAAGGAGGCCTTGTTGACGAGTTTTATCCACTCAGATGTTCCTCAAACTTGGTCAGGGTCTAGAAACCATAGTGCTTTGTAGTAGCAAGTAGGGCACTACATATAAACAACATATAAGACTCTGGTTCTGACTCTGTCCCCAACTACCTATGTAACTTTAAGGCAAATCAATTAATCTAGGTTCTGTTTTCTCAGTTGTAAAATTCGAATGTTGAATGAAATGATTTTTCAGGTCTCTTTTGGTGCTACACTTGTATGATCCTAGGTCTCCTGGTTCCCATTTGATTTGTTGGGCCATCTAGATTCCTGGATCACTCGAGAAACAAGAATCCTCCCTAGGATTTCTTTAAGTCTAAAAACTCAGCGTACATCAACATTATGTATATCAATATTATCCCACAAAATAGAAAGAAACCAGTTAGTTAATGACTATCCCTGTGTCATTAACAGGAGAAACTGAAGTCCTGAGGAATGAAAATGCTTCATTTAATAAAAATATAGTTTAACACAGGTGTCCCAACCACAGCTTTCTCAAAGCTTGATGACTTCTCATACTTCTTTATTTAAATTTCAAGTGTCGTATTTCAAATTTGGACATTTCTCTACATTACTAAAACAGTCTCTGGGGAGACATTTTCTTCTCAGCCGTCTAGTGAGAAAAGTGAATCTTTCCCAACACAGTAAAAGTCTTGTCAGACAGAAAACTACATGTAAGTAATTTAACTTATTTTCTAAAAGCAAAAAGAAGTACATACTGTAAGTTTCTTCCATGTTGGAAATGAAGGAGCCAAATCCAAGTGCTGGTGGGGGGGGGAAAAAAAGCAATGGATCAGGGAATCAGAAATGAAATGTATCAAAAGTAGCCCTAAGAAGTGGAGTCAAACTTGGATTCAAACTAGAATTGAAGTCACCCAAGTTCAATATAAAAAACCCTTATAGCACCTCCCTCCCCCTCAATAAATTTCTCCCCTTGAAGGCATTCTTTACTACTTTGAACCATTTTAACATCATTTGCCCAATTCACACTCTTGGAATAAATTCTAGGGCTCACAGTTAAGAAAAACCAAATATGACTACTAACTTAAACTGTATTCAGGTGATAAGATGTCAGTCTATTTTAAGTGCCATTACAACACCCTGTCACTGTTTACCATCTATTAGGGTTTGATGCTATTTAACATTAGAGGGGGCAAGTCAAGCCCACCAGAATACTGTTATTTAAACTTCAGGATAAACAAAGGAAAAGGTTACTATGTTAAAGCTCTCCTCTCAAGTCGTCAAAAATACAGGATGGGCAGGCTGCCAGTCTTGCTTCTCCCCCGGGGACCTGGGGATGCTGGAAGCCTGTGTCAGACTATACACTCAATCCATCCAATATGTCCAGAGACATTCTAGTTTACTACTTCTATGACTTTTCTTAAACATGATTAGGAAGTACCGTACTTTTTCCAGTGATGCTTTACCCCCTCCCCAAATCTCCTATGCTAAAATGGATAGACTTGGTTATTTAAATCTCTCCAGTTAATACTCATTCCCTCTATGCATTGAGGCAAAACTTCTGAATGTTAGGACTCGAGAACTGTCCATTTTATAGTTGACAGTCATAAAAGAACAAGTCTGTAACAGAAATGTGGAAGATTAAAAGACAAATTTTTTTTTAGTGTCAGTCCTCTTCCACCTGAGATTCCCCCCTATTGAGCTCTGTGATTAAATAAACTTATCATTATAGAAAAGACTAAATTTATATAAAACCATCTCCATAGGAAACTTCTGAAAACTGGCTAGGTTTACATCTATTGCCTCTAGAGCCAGCTCTCCTTTGCCGCCTCATACAATTCCACACCCCTTCCCTCCATTCTATGACATAAGCAGCCTTGGAACCTATGATAGGAAATACAAGTGATCAGCTGGAACTCGTTCAGTTATTTGCTGCAGAGCTCATTTGTAAATGACAATCATCGGTGAAACTGTCATAAAAAATATTTTTCATGTCTGGATTAAGAAATTCTGACATTCCTTTTGACATGTTACACAGTTACTTTATACTTTTTCAACAACAAAAAAAGAGAATTGGAAGAAAGAATCAAGCACTATGTTCCTTGATTTTAAGTCATTCAAAGGAGCAATCAGTGCCAGTTTCATCAACTTGTAGGGAGCCACCCTATCCTTTGGGGGCAAAAAGACTAAATTACACAAGATTAAGGGCACTGGAATCTATAGCCTCATCATTCAGCCCTGTCCATCTAAGTATCTTCCGTATTAAACTGTTAACAAGTGAGTCTTTTACGTTTTTCCTAGTACTAGACATTGGTGTAATGGACAAATGACACTTAGCAGGCAAGCTTGGGGGCTGGTTGCAGCCTGAAGCAACTGGTTACACTCTTAACCGAGCTGGGGTCTCGGTAAAACCATCATTTTTCTTCCTTTAAACAAAACAGAGTCGATTTAAACAATGGGACTAAATAAGAGAAGGTGGGGAAGATGGTTAACTTAAAAGAATGGAGACACAGGAGCTAGGGAGGACCTCGAGGGGACGAAGCAGCGGCGGCACCACAGGTTGCCAAAACAGCCGCACTGAGAACCCACGAGGCCGAAAGCTCTGGGCAGAAAAGGGAAGATCCTAGAAGGTGAAGGTATCCCAGCCCACTAAAGGTGAGGTCTTTGGAGGCCCCAAGCCGGGGCCCGCGCGTCATTCCTACCTCGGCCGAGTCACACCCCCGCTCACACTCGCCTTCACCCCACACCCGCGCCCAGCAACGCTCACTTCCGGCCCCTGACGTTAGGGGGTGGGGGTGGGGCCCCCCCACTTCCGGTGACGGAGGCTGGACTCTGACCGAGCGAGGCGCGGTTGTGCCGAGGGCCTCCTCGGCTCTCCCACCCCTGCCCCCCACCTCGGGCCGTCGTCCTCTGGCCCCCGGAATGACCGTGACCTTGCGTGGGTGGAACTCGCGCTGCCCCGCCGAGCTCTGGGGTGGCCATCTTAGAAAGGAGAACGAGTGCTGAGACATGGGCGCTCGAGGAGGGGCGGGACTCATTAGGGGTCCATCGATGGGTACTGGTGAGAACGAAGCCTTGTTTGTGGAAGTTGTCCAGAGAGAAAGATAATTTAGATTTTGACTGGAAGGAAGAGGAAAATTGAAAAGGAGATAAGCAGACACAACAGGCCCCTCTCCCACCCACCCCAACGCCCCAAAACGAATCACCAAGGACAGGAATCTAGTTGTTTTTGTTCAGCACGCATTGTAGGCAGAATTTCAAAATTCGAAAGTTGATAATGGTTTATCTGAGAATGCGTGGTGGGATGGATGCCCTAGTCAGATTAAAGCGAGTTTTAGAGTTGAGGAGAGAGCTCGAGGTAAAAAGGGCCAGAAAGTTATAATTTGATAGTGGAAAACGAAACATATATTGTGAGCCTTTGTTCTGGAAAATGTTATACCCAAAAAAAAAGGTGCAAGCGGTGGTTCTTGTCTCCAAGGTGCTAGGAAAATAGGCCCCAAAGTGAAAGGTTAAATGGTAGTGTAACAGATGCCAAAAAAGTTGTTGAGACTGTAAATTCATATTAGGAGGAAATCAGTGGGGCCCAGAGTCACCTGGGGAAGGCTTTGAGAAAAAGGACATGTGGCCTTTGAAGATTAGACAGAAAAAAGGAAGAGATTGACACTACAGGTAGATCTGGTAATAATAGTTTTCAAAACCAAGAAGTAAGAGATGTGATATGACAAATTTTTGTATTGCCCAAGGTAGGCAGTCTGGGAGCTCAGTCTGGGTGCTGAAATATTGGGGGTTTTAGAACATTTCAGTGGTTTCTGGAGCCTAAATATGATTTAGGAGAACTTATCCTGACAGCATGAAATTAATGTGGCTTCAGTGAAAAGGGTCGTGGGACATTTTATCTTTACATGAATAATATGTAAACATTGTTACCGGGTTTTTTTGGTTTTTTTTTTTTGTCCGCACCACGCGGCTTGCAGGATCTTAGTTTCGTGTCCGGGGATGGAACCCAAGCACCCTGCACTGGAAACACGGAGTCTTGACCACTGGACCGCCAGGGAAGTCCTGTTTTTTGTTTAATTATCATCCCTTGGGCTGAATAGAGTGTGCTTCACAGCCTTTGGTTCATATTAAGACCCTAAAAAGAAATGTGTTGATGCAAGCAGAGCCCAAGCCTGCTTGTTGCAGGCTACTGTTTGTTTGTTTGTTTGTTTTAACAAATTTATTTATTTATTTTTGGCTGCATTGGGTCTTAATTGCTGCACGTGGGATTTAGTTGCATCAAGTGGGGGATACTCTTCGTTGCAGTGCATGGCCTTCGTCATTGCGGTGGCTTCTCTTGTTGTGGAGCACAGGCTCTAGGCACGCGGGTTTCAGTAGTTGTGGCACGTGGGCTCTAGAGTACAGGCTCAGTAGTTGTGGCGCACAGGCTTCGTTACTGTGTGGCATGTAGGATCTTCCCAGACCAGGGCTCGAACCCATGTCCCCTGCACTGGCAGGTGGATTGTTAACCACTGCACCACCAGGGAAGCCCGGCTACTGGTTCTTAATCTTGCCTGCACATTAGAATCATCTGGGGAGCTTTTAAAACATATTGTGCCACGTTCCCCTCCCAGACCAATTAAAGGGTTGGGCATAGTTATTTTTAAAAATCTACCCACATGATCTAATGTGCAGTCAGGGTTGAGAACCACTGACCTAGGCACTGTTTTGAACTTACAAAAGCTATTCTTCACCTGGGTGGCCTAGATGATTCCTGTGAAGGAGGAGCAAGCTGTTAAAGTGCTTCTTGAAAGATGATCGCTAAGAATGAAAGCTTCCTTACAAGCTTAGCACAAAGCATTTTAGGAAAAGCTGCTGTTTTGGCGAATCAGTTTCAGATTGTTCAGAGTATCTTAACGTAATCTTTACGAAATCCTAAACCTTAAACCTCTGGATTTATCACAACATTATTCATGCAGAATTAGTGGGGCCACTGTGACTTGAAATGAAATGTGATTTTTCAGGCTTTATTTATTATTCATTTTTTTTGGCTGTGTTGGGTCTTCATTGCTGCACACGGGCTTTCTCTAGTTGCGGCGAGTGGTGGGCTGCTCTTTGTTGCAGTGCGAGGGCTTCTGATTGCAGTGGCTTCTCTTGTTGCGGAGCACAGGCTCTAGGTGCATGGGCTTCGGTAGTTATGGCTCATGGGCTCTAGGGCACAGGCTCAGTAGTTGTGGCTCGCGGGCTTAGTTGCTCCACGGCATGTGGGATCTTCCTGGACCAGGGCTCGAACCCGTGTCCCCTGCACTGGCAGGCGGATTCTTAACCACTGTGCCACCAGGGAAGCCCGAAAAATCGGGCTTTAAATTGAGGTAATCTGGTGAAATTGTTGACACTGTTTCTGTGACCCATCCGAACTTTTCATTCAGATACCTGAAGGTTGAAACTTCTGGGGAAGAAAGAGCTAAGAGCTTGAGAGGACGGGGAGTGGGTACCAAACCAGAATCCAAAGTCAGGCTTCAGTGCATTCAGTAATGCTTTGTCAGGGTGACAGGATCCTCAACTGATAAAGTTGTTCCATTTAGCACCAGTGAATGAGCCCACTGACTTTCAAACAAACAAACAAAAGAACCAAACCTGTCTTTCAATGGTGGAGATATTAAAATAAAAATGCATCACACATCTATTCTTTCTATTCTTAAATGCTTTGTTCATTCCTTTCCAACCCAGAAAGTTCCTGCTTTATCTGATATCCCTGCTGAGCTTTCTTTCAGACTGATTTTCCAGCCAGGTTGAATGTATTTGAAAAGGAAAAAAAAAAGAGAGAGACCAAGGCATTTATTTACACAGGGTCATTCTAAGAGCTAGTTGGGATTAATTCCCTAAACTGAATCTGATCTTTGCTGGTTCTATCTCTGGATATGCTTGCATTTATCCCTAAATTATAAATTATATTTTTAGAGTTATTAGTTAAAAATAAAGACTGAACTAATGAGTAAAGAGACATCTGTATGCTAATGACTGGAAAAAAAAACCCCAACTTTGTTAGAAGATGAGTTTTCTCAGTTTTTAGGACTGAAGGAATCCCAGTAGTCTTTCAGATTCTTTAGAGATTTTCAGTGTTTCAGAAAGCCTGATAAAACTTAAACTTTTGCCCATCAGAAGACTAAAACATTAAATTTCTTTGTTTTTGGCTTAAATTTTATCAACTAAGTCCTGGTTCCCTCATCTAATTATGATTTCTGATTGGTTGTTAAGTGTATAATTTAAAATAGGAAAATTATTCAATAAATGAATTGCAAAATATTTCAAAAAGAGATCTATGGGGGAACATAATAGATGTTCTTATTGGTGAGGTTAGATTGGGAAGTATTGCTGTAGAGGAGGGTGAGAAGTTGGGGCTGGTTACAATTTTTCAGGCAAAGTAGAGGGAGAGGTGTTCCCACCAGGGAGCCACTGAAAATAAATTTATGTTTAAAAAAGGGTCATTAATGGGAGTTTGCCAAGAATAGCCAGCAACCCCCTCCACAAACACAGGATGATACAGGATAAATGAAAAACCAGTAGTGGGGCCTCCCTGGTGGTGCAGTGGTTGAGAATCCGCCTGCCGATGCAGGGGACACGGGTTCGTGCCCTGGTCCGGGAGGATCCCGCATGCCGCGGAGCGGCTGGGCCCGTGAGCCGTGGCCGCTGAGCCTGCGCGTCTTGGAGCCTGTGCTCCGCAACGGGAGAGGCCACAACAGTGAGAGGCCCGCGTACCGCAAAAAAAAAACCCGAAAAAACAAAAACAAAACAGTAGTAACTTCTTAATTTTTGTCTTTAAATTCATTCTGTGTCCTAATATGTAAATATTATATAGCTGTGTAATCCACATTGCCTGTAATAGTTGCCAGTGTACTCGAGCAATCTGTTCTCTGTGTTTTTCCTTGACTTCTAGGTAATTTCTTTCCCTGGGACTCAGCAATAAATAGCCCCTCATGCCCTTACTGGTGCTGGCATCTAAGATGTAAATTGTAAGTCCCAAGTTTGCAAACCATTGTTAGTATTGCTTTGGCAAGGCTTAATGAATAGATAGGTAAGAAAATGGAAACTTCTTAAAAGTTTGTTGAAAAGATGGTAGGATGGCAGAATTACGCTAAGGAAATTTTACCTTCTAAAAATTGTGTAAAGGGCTAGTCTTGTATGGAACAGTTCTAAAATTCCAATAATACTATTCTTCTGATGTTATTTTAAGGAATGTCAAATGTTTAAACCCAAAGGTCATTTTCTTTTTGAAGCCTTCTCCTAACCTCTGCCTAGGATTAAGTTCTTATGTTTTCTTATAACCTCCTTTCCTCCCAGCACTTAAACTGTGTGTCATACCAGTTGTTCTCAGAGTGTGATCTCCAGACCAGCAGCATCAGCGTCACTTGGGAACATGAGAAAAATGCAGATTCTTGGGCCTTACTACTGAAGCAGAAACTCAGGGGTGAGATGCCCTACAATCTTTGTTTTAATAAGCCCTCCAAGTGATTTTGATACCCACTGAAGTTTGAGAACTGTTGCCTTATATTAACTATAGTTGTCAACATTGTTCCCTCATAATGGACGAAGCCCACTCTAGTTCTTTTTTTTTAAAATAAATTTCTTTATTTTTATTTATTTTTGGCTGCATTGGGTCTTAGTTGTTGCACGCAGGCTTTCTCTAGTTGTGGCGAGCAGGGGCTTCTCATAGTGGTGGCTTCTCTTGTTGCGGAGCACAGCCTCTAGGTGCGCAGGCTTCAGTAGTTGTGGCACGTGGGCTCAGTAGTTGTGACTCGCAGGCTCAGTAGTTGTGGCACACAGGCTTAGTTGCTCTGCAGCATGTGGGATCTTCCTGGACCAGGGCTCAAACCCGTGTCCCCTGCGTTGGCAGGTGGATTCTTAACCACTGTGCCACCAGAGAAGCCCCTACTATAGTTCTTAACATAGTGTCCCAAACTTAGTCAGTACTTGATTGTTTGACTTGAGAGCACAGGTATATTTTGTCAGCGGCTGCAGCAACTGTAAGACATCATCTGTCTTGTAAGAGAATACGTGGGAGGAAGAGACTAAACTATTTGAGGTTGTTTTCTTTCTCTTTTTTATACCACAGCTGCTTGGAAAGCCTGAACAAAAAGGCCCATAAAGTATGGACCAACAAAAGGATAAAAGATGCGGAACCAATGAGATACGTTTTGGTACGTATCTAGGACGTGAGTAATGGGCCTTAGCAATTTTTCCCCCATAGTTCATACTGTGAATGTAAGAGTAGAAACCCTAAAACCCGATTTTAGGGACGAAACTTTATAGCCAGGAAGTCTTATTACTGTTACACAAACATAATTTAAATCACCTTGATAGAACTTTTCTGTGAAGATGAGTGAACCTGGTTACCAAGGGTTTTGAAAGGTTGATTTTTTTTCAGTATAAATATTTAGCCCAGAGTACTGAATCTCTTTTTACTACACCTTGGGTATAAAGTATAGATTCTCCACATTCAGTAGCTTTGATTTTGTATGGGCATACGACTAGTACATAGTAAGATCATGCCTCTCCTAAAGCGTGCTATATAGTTTAATAGTAATAAATCAGAATGAAAGGAGGTTAAAAGGAGACATAAGCCACCTGTTACGGGAGCCTGGGGAAATAGTTAGGACTTTGGGGAGTCTAGGCAAGCTTCGAGGCAATTATTTTTAAACTTTGCTTTTTTTACAAAGTATTTTTCCATAAGTTAATTTGGTCTTTTTGAAGCTTTGACCAAATGTTATGTTAGAAACCAAGAAAAGTGATTCTATTGTGCTTTTATCCAAGGGACTCAAAACCTCTTAAAGCAAGATTTGAGTAAATCTGGCACCCATGTTTTGAATGATACAACTGCCTAATAAGTGATGACTTATTAGGGTAGTTGACTCGGTTTGTCTGGCTGTTATCCCAGGATAATTATTGTTCCCCCTTTCAAGCTCAAGAGTATCCTGGTTTGGAGGAAAAATTATATGGTCCCCCAGTTAAAACTGCATGCTCTTTTAGGGGAAGATTCCATATAGCTAAAATATGATAAAGGAAGACAGTTTTATCTTTTAGGGCCATTTTTCCTGGGAAACAACCTTTTGTTTTTATATAGTATGGTGTTAATATACCAAAGTATAATTTTAAAAATTCAAAATATGTGTAAGGTCTTAGTCAAGAGATAAAAGTAAATCTTGTTTATATTCTGTAAAGCTAAGTGAGAAAGTCAGTAGCCCCCTACCCCCTCCACTTTGTACCAAATATACTGGAATGTGCTAGATGCTAAAAGTGTCTAGTGTTCTCTGTTCTCCCTTCTATTTTAGCGGAAGAAAAAAAAAAGATCATTTGAAAAGGATCTAGAAAATACTTAGGTAGGGATAGGACTCTTTAAGTCTAAATATACCTGGACTAGTCAGTAAACTAGCAAAACCCCAAACTCATTATTTTAAAAGGATTAGCTAGCTGCAATAAAAATTACAGGTTAAGAGGAACTAATTTTGGCCTGTTTTAAATTGGGTCTTGGTTCAGTTTAAGCACCAAGTATTTGAATATCTCCTAGATGCACAGCACTAGGCTAATGAGGTAGCAAATATAAAGCAGTATGTGATTCTGCCTTCCTTCATGAAGGTTTGTGGTTTGGTTGAGGTCGGAGACAGGGAAGGTTTAAATGAGGTGACGATTAAGAATTGGACTTAAAAAAAGCTAGAACAGGGATTTGAATAGTTGAAGGGCAAGGGGTGACATTTTAAAACGAACCAAGTGAAAAAGAATAAAACATATTTAACATGGATGTAAACTGACTTCTGCAGAGTTAGGAAGGTAGATTTGGAGCCATGTTTCAAACTCAGCTTGTCATAAAAACTATATCCTTTAAGCATGGAAGATTCGTATGGAGAATTGATTGAAGAAGGTTGATATGATGGTCATACAGTAAATGACTTGGAGGTAGGAGAAAAAGGTTGGAGGATAAAGAACCTAACTAAGGAATAGCATTATAGACCACATGGTGACTGTATTTCCCCTACAAAGAGAAATAGGCAAATCAGCCCTCCAGCCCTTTAGTTGAAATATGAGGATATGACAGCAAGGAAGAATAAAAAACCAAAGGAAGCTTGTCATAGGAAAAATACTCTTCATTTAAATAAATAAAAACATGTTAAGATGCCAACAGTGACAAGAGTTGTTACCTAAAACTTGACAGTAAAGATTTCCCCAAAGTTTTAAAAAAAGACTTAATAAATCTTCCATCTGCTGGCTCTTTAACCTACAACTTCCCCATCAGTTCTTCTTACCTAAGGATAGAAAGAGAACATTGAGGCAGTGCCATTTTGATAGCAAGCGTTTTTATGGAAGACCTAAGCTTGATGTGTGTTAATAGCATTTCAAATAGAGTTCTAGACAGCTCTTTCTCCAGTCTGATTTAAAGCCATCAGGACTTTCCCTGCATTCTATTGTGAGAGGAGGAGGACTTTGAATAGAAAACGTTCATTTTTATTTATGTATTTATTTATTTTTTGAAAGTGTTTATTTTTAAAGAAGAAAAGCTTGTCTAAGAATCTTTGAAGATTTAGAATACAATGTTAGTGATATTAGTTAAAACTATGTTAATATAAAAAACTATGTTAATATATATTAAAACTGTGATGTTAAAAAAGTTATTCTACCTTTTCTCTAGGACTTATGGTTGTTACGATGTTTATCATCCATAGTCTCTTTTTTTATGTCTCTTGAATCGCTGTAGAAGATGACCAAAGGAGGAAAGTTAGCTGGAAATCAGAACTAGAGAATTAGTCTAGATAACCAGTTCTAGGAGATTAAAGTTACTTTAACAAAAATAGTTGATGCTACTACATGTCCGGGTAGGAATTACTGGTTTTGTGCTAGCATCTGTTTTATATAGTTCCTCTGCACCTTCCCTCCCCACTGTGTATCCAGTGGGTAGCTCCACTGAGGGCTCCTCTAGCTCTTGGCTGTGCCCTTGAAGTTTGTGTGGTTGGGGATCCTGCCCATGTATAGTATACTAGCTCTTTCCCCTTTGTAGCTTTAGGAATTGGGGTTTTTTTCCTTGAAAATCTTACACAGAATTGAGAACCTTGTGTAATCAAGTCCTTGATGGATTAAAGTCCTAAGTGGAGCCTTAGGAAAGGAATGGAAATACTCAGAGCCCATGAATACAGCTCTTTTAAAATTTGTAATTGAAGCTTAGGCATCTGCCATGCCTATGATCTAGTGGCCATTCTCCTAAGGTATTAAAGGTATTCCACTCTCTATTCCAATAACTTCTATAGGATGATTTATCTTACCTTTCACAAACCAGCATTTTTGGAGCAAATGTCTTAAGGACAAATGAAGGAGAATGATGTGTGTTATCTAGAAAGAAAGAAATCAGGATGAAGTAACACAAGTACTAAGCATTTTTACATTATTGCAGAGAAGGCTAGCTGGCAGGAGATTTGAGTCTCCCTTCCATAGCTGTTGCTGGGAAGTGACTGCTCTGCCTGGGCCTACATTTCTGCCTCCCTGACATAGGTATGGTCTTGTTACTAGTTTTTGCCAATGGGATGTGAGTAGAAATACTCTCTTCTGGGCTGAGGTGGTTATGAGGTAGCTGTACTTTCTCCCTTCTCTTTTTGTGGCAGCTTGGGAAGCCAGGTGTGGGAGGTGACAGTCAAAAGTCAAAGAGCCTCTGTTCTTGAATCACCACTCCTACCAAATACTTGCACTGGATTGTATACAAGGGAACTTCTGTTGTGTTAAATCATGACATTTAACACAGTTTGGACTTTATCTGTTAAAGGAGCTTGCATTGCTCTAACACATACATACATCTTTATTTAATATTAATCTACCTTATGAGGTAGATATTATTCCTTTTATGGATGAGGAAGATGTGTTTGAGAAGTAACTTGAGGCCAGAGCAGGTAGTTGAACCTAGATCTGACTGAAAAGCTAGTGAATTCTCCAATATAACATGCTGCATCTTAGAGAAAGGATATCACTTGAGATAGGATAGATCCTAATCTTTCAGATTACAAGTAAAAAATTACTTCTATGGAAAGTGACTGGGTATTGGTAAGATAAGAATCTTTTAACTGTTATAAGTGAATTTAGATTTAATTAGACTCCTTTTTACTGGGTTGCCTCTCCAGAGAGAGATGAAATTCTGAGATTTACTCTTTTGATTGCTTTGGTGAAGGATTTTGTGGGAGTAGTATTAAGACTAATTACTGCAGAGCTTCTGTACTTATTAGCTATAGAGGACTTAGGGTCCAGGCCTTCACTTAGGACTGTGTTCACTGTCTCACCCTTGCTTACCTACATTCCAGACATCAGGGTCAGGAATCTGATTGGCGGCATCAGAAAATTTTTCACTTGGTTCCAAACTTGGAGAAGTAAACTTTGGAAGATTAAATGGCTCTGAAATAAAGCAGACCAGAAGTTATAGAAGCAGAGTGGAAACTTCTTTTTGTTTTTCATTCCTCATTTGGCTAAGGTGTCCATAGCTATGAGATATGGAGGGTGGGGGGGCAATAGAACTCGACTCCACTTATCTGTCCCCCAAATGAAAAACTTGCTGTCATCTATAGCAGCTCTATTGACACAGTTAGCCTCATGTTCTTTGAGCCTTTTGATTGGGACCACATGACAAGCATTATATTTGCAGTTAGCCATCTTTTTTAGTTTTCTTTGGATTTTTCTAAAAGGAAGAAGTTCTTGTTAAATGGCTATTAGGTTTTGCCTGTATTCTACCCTCCATTCCTTTCTGGAAATGCTGAAGACATACAATGTTCCAACATTAAGAACTTGCAGGTGCTATGTATACTCAGAAGTTTTTTTTTTTTAATTTCTTTCTTTCTTTATTGAGTTTTGGCTGCCTTGGGTCTTCGTTGCTGTGCCCGGACTTTCTCTAGTTGCGGCGAGCGGGGGCTACTCTTCATTGTGGTGCACAGGCTTCTCATTGAGGTTGCTTCTCTTGCTGTGGAGCACGGGCTCTAGGCACGCGGGCTTCAGTAGTTGTGACACGCAGGCTCAGTAGTTGTGGCTTGCGGGCTCTAGAGTGCAGGTTCAGTAGTTACAGCACATGGGCCTAGTTTCTCCGCGGCACGTGGGATCTTCCCGGACCAGGGCTCAAACCTGTGTCCCCTGCATTGGCAGGTGGATTCTTAACCACTGCGCCACCAGGGAAGTCCTG